CCGTGGCTCCTCCACATCTTGTCTGGATCCTCCGTGTCTTTTTTTCGCTGGCTCTTGGTAGACTTTGGGCAGCGAGGATGAGGATGGAGGACGAGCGGTTCTGTGGAGAGGAGGTTTAGGAGGGCTCTCCCTGGCCGGGGGATGGGATGTGTCCGTGGACATCCCCTTTCCCTGCCGTGCTGTCACCCCTCCGTGCTTTTCAGAGCAGGAGCAGGCTGCGTTACACACGGGCAGAAGCCCAAGTACAGCAGTCTGAGCAGAAGAAGCCCTGACAGTCCTTATATCCCCTGTGCAGCTGATGGGAGGCTACAGGGTACACAGCCTCCCACCTTCAGTTCCAGCAGTGTGCAGAGGCTGAGAACAGGGACTGTCTGGTGCCTGTTTGGAGACCTGAAATGTGCCCGTGCCTCCCCGGGAGGTGTTGAGCAGCAAGGGCTGTTTGCTGACTGAGCTGGCAGGGAGTGGGTGCTCTGCTTGGGACAGCATGGAATGTCCCTGAGCCTTTTTTGGCAGGTCATTCCCTGGCACTAAAACAGCATCAGAGAGGCACGCTCGTCTCTTCACCAAGCCTCACAGCTCGTGTGGTCGCCCCCGCTTTTGGGACAGACTCTCCTATGGCGAGAAGATGAGGCGCTCCCTGTTCTGCAGGTCTTGAGGCTCGTCCCCGCTGCTCCAGCATCGTTTGGTTTGTTGCAGTAAATTTGTTTGGTGGAAAAGCAGAGCAGGGCTTGCTGCTGGGTTGCAGATAAGGCCAGGCCCGTGGCTGGAGCCAGCTCTGCAGAGTGTGTGGGAGAGTGTCCCACGTTTGGGACCCGCTGCTGTGAAGAACCCAGGCAGTTTTATACCGGGTATATATTTTTGCGCTGCTGCCATATTTCACCAAAATGCACTAGAAAACAGGAAGAAAGCAGAAAAGCTCTGGGGAAATCTCAGCTTCACCGGGCTGCAGGGTGGAAGAATTTGGTGGCGCTCGTTTGGAGAAAGGTCCTTTCTGCTTCCTCCCCACCTCACACCCACGAGATCACAGTTACATCCCTTGTGCCCTGCTGCCTTCGTGCCGAGGCAGCAAATGCATCCTCCATGCTCCAGCTGAAACGTGCACGCCGCAGCTATCCCCACCCCCCCCCGCTCCTCCTCTGTGGTGCTAGCAGCCAGGGTTACACTAATTTGTGTTTAGTTTCCTCCCCAGTGCCGGCCCCCCCGATCCTGCAGCTCGAGGAGTGTTGCACCCACAACAACAGTGCCACCTTGTCCTGGAAGCAGCCCCCCTTGTCGACGGTGCAGGTGGAAGGCTACATCCTGGAGCTCGATGACGGCAACGGCGGCCAGTTCAGGGTAGGTGCTTGGAGCACAAAGTCGGTCCCAGCGGCAAGATGTTGCTCCTGGTTCCGTTACTGCCCTGCCAGGAAGGGACCAAAGAGTTCCCTAGGCATTTTGCACGTCCCCTCTTT